TGAAGACGTGTTTTCTTGCCTTGATACTCCCCTCCAGTTGTCATTCCTTTAATACAGACCACTTGCAGTAGGAGCTGTAGGAGTTTAAATGCAGTCAAATTACTGCCAGATTACTGCTGTATTTTGACCATTTTTTCAAGACCTGAACAGATTTGAATAGTAGTAAGAAGACTGCCTATCATTATGGGATTCCACTTCAGTTTCTTCCCAAATTTTTCAACATCTTTTAAAAGCCCAAGCCTCTGCAATGTCAGCGATAACACTCTTGATTGCAAAGATAAGCTTGAAAACAAAAGCAACATGGTTAAAGTCTGAGAGTAAATGGCAACTAGGAGCATTTTAAACATCTCATTTTCAAAACAGATTCTATTTCCTTAATCCTGCGAGAAGATCCTACATGCTCCCATCAGTTGAAGCTGCACCTGCTTCTCAAAGCCCTGCTTTTCACTTTTGTATCTAGAGCACATGGCCATTTCTCCGAACTCCACATGACAAAACAGAGTAAAGAATACCGACCTGAAACTTCACAGCACTCTCTCTCAGCTACATTCCTGTGTAACAACAAAGACTCTCCAGGGTTTCTATGCTCAGCAACAAAGATTTGGGGATTTTTGTTTGTCTGAAGGAATTTTCCTCTTGAATGACCTTTTACATTCTGCAGAGCTCCCTTCTAGCCAGAGACACAGCTTACCATTAGATTTTTCAAAGATGCTTCACAACCATATAGAGCTTTCAGCAAGATGCTATGTGTGGAATATCCACCAGCATAGTGTTACCCATTCTATTAATTGCTCACACCATACCATTTCTGCTGACATCAGGAACACTGAGGTAGGATGTTTCTTCAGTAAGGAATCTTGATTCATACTGGACCCATGAAATCATTTTTTCAAGCTGTTAAAGACAGACAGACATGCTTCCTGCCCTGGTTGTTTAAAAAGATTCAAAGAAACTTGGGGTTTCATATAATTTTGAGAATGTTTTCTCCGTTCAGACTCAGTTACAATACATCATTTACATAAAAGCGATTTTGTGACTAAATGTGAGCAATGTGAGTACTTAAACAAGCTATTGTAGTAACTCAAACGTAACTCCTCATGACCTGTGAACAATTTACCCAGGCTGTGAATTAGAGCATCAGGGGTGCAGACACTTCAAATCAGTTCAAATGCAGTGCGGCTCATGTATTGCCCAGCACAGCAAACCGCATCTGTCCCACCTCTAGGGTCAGCAAGGATGCAAAAGCAGGTTGGCTGCTTCCACTCACTCTGGAGACATCTATTAACACACTGCAGCTTTGTACAGACACATGCGGCCAGATCCACATGGAGCCATCTCAGGTCCAAGCAAATAAGCAATAAGGAGACATTCAAGTGTGGCCGCATCTCGTTCCCCATTGCTCCAGATTCACAGTGTGCCCATCACCTCACGTACCATGCTACACGAAACTCCCAGGTGAAACAGAATTGATTTATAGAAGGTATACTGCATTTGCACCAAAATACCTGTGAAGTCCAAAAAGAAATTACTAACAGGTAAACAGGCCAAACTGGGCCTGACTTTTGCAGTGGTGAGTACAGAAACAAGATCCAGAGCTCCATCCCTCCACCCCCCCCTTTTTTTTTAAGCTGTGTACCAGATGAAATGCAAGTTTTGAGTTGCTGGGCTCGTACTCTCCTGACATAGGTTGGCACTGACAATTTACAGCAGAAGAAACTGAACTCAGTATATATCAGCAAAGTTGCCAGTATTTACACCTCTCAATCTTCCAAATTTTATAACTGTGCAATTGCAGGACACAATGAGAGATTAATGACAAAAAATAGAACACATGGGCTTTTGTGTGCGTCATGATTGCAGTGACAGCTGACTACAAAACCTAATTTAAAAGCCAAGGTTTGTTTGGTTTGTGGTGGTTTTCTTTCCCTTAAAGACAGGGGAGAAGAAAACACAAGCAACCCTAAAGCAGTGCTTTATGGAAGACATTCAGTTGAAATGCTGTCCTTTATCTTAACCTGTCTCTAATAGGAACCCGAATATACACTTCCCTAGTGAGTTAGGCACTAGGAGCAATAGAAAACTAACAATTAGGATTCTTGGGCTGCATTTGTGAACCAAGACCCATTTACACTGTTTACAATGGTGATTATAAACAAGCTATCTAAACCAGCGGATTTAGCCCGCTCATCCAAGGAGGCAGAGCGTTCCAGTGCACTGAGAGATGGATTCTATTTCGAGCTCTACCTGAAATTACTTTGTTCAACCTCTCAGCTGAATTACTTGAAAAGGAAAGACAGAGTGAAAAATGTCTGCTTTTTAAAGTAACAGCATGCAATTTTACTGAAGAACATGAGCAAGCATTTTACAAAATTGTAAATAGTA